AAATCAAATCAAATCAAATCAAATCAAATCAAATCAAATCAAATCAAATCAAATCAAATCAAATCAACCCTATTATAGAGGTGAGGGAGTCACAGGATTAAATGTCAGTGTTCAAAATCACTTAAGTATTATAAATTTACACTAATTTGTTTTAGGATAAGGTTGGTACGCTACTTTTCTATTGTAGTTAACTTGTATTTTAATTTTATTTCTATGTATTGCTTGTCAATTGCACAGAATTTAGTACTTTAGATCATATTTTCCTCTAATGTCTTTAATATGAAGATGCTTTGCAATGTGGTTTATACTCTATTTTACTCTTGTTTGGTTAATCTGTTTAGTTTTAGTCATGTTGAGACTGTGTGGAGTCAAAACAACATCAGTCTTCAGTTTCAGGTCCCAGAAGTAAACACAGAGCTTAGAAAGTCTGCCTCCGCTGCTCCGGCCTCATTGAATAACGTCCAGCAGACAGCGTTTCAAAACCTTTGTGTTTCTTCTGAGACCTTGTTAAAACCTCCGTTAATCCTGGCTGTACTTGTTTTGTACATAATGCTCCCAAAGAGCACATTTTCTTTCTTCATTCTACCGTGTCATCCTCTTATTATTACTTCTAGGTATCGCTACTGTAAAGTTTACTTTTATTGAATTCTGTGTGTTTAATGCGTTAACAGTCTAAACTCGACACACACTTGTTCCCTTGTTCCTCAGTGTGTCTTTTTGAGTGCAACTAAAGTGTGTGTGTGTGTATATATATACACACATCGTTGTTTTTGTCACTTACCGGGTCCCTACATAGACTTACACACACACACACACACACAGAAGATTTTTGCAAATACAATCCTGTAACTAATTCATCAGAAATCCAAGCTAGATGTATTGATTTCAGGCCTCTCACATGCCGGACACGAGGAGCGGCGGCAGATCTTTCTAATGGAGAAACTACGAGTGTGCATCAGTGTGTGCTGCCCAGAGAGAAATAATGAATTGGTTTATGGGTCCAAATTCCATCACGCTTCCCAATTTGTATTCTCCACACGAAGGGACTGGGAGCAGAGGGTGAATACAAAAGCCTCTGGCAAACAGTGCCTGAATGGTTACAGGAAGATGTGTGTGCCAGAGTGTGTGGAGGAAGGCAGAGCACGTAGCAACACAGGAGCACTCTGCATAAATGCTGAATGCTGGCTGTGCACAAAAGCACATTTCCATCCAGCTGTTTGTTCAAAAACTGAAATGAAAATGCTAGAAATTTAAAAATTCACACTACCATCATAGTTTTTGTTCACGCCTGAGTTAGAAAAGTTGTACAATTAATGAAGAACAGATGTGAGGAAACAAATAAATTCATTACGCTGCAGCACCTCCTTCCTCTACTGAGAGAGGAGCGAGAAGAGGACCCTCAGGAAGCTGCTGTCCATCCAGGACAGTGTCCATCACCCTGTGCACAGTGCCATCACCAGGCGGAGGAGATCATTCAGCAGTAGGCTGCTGTCTCTCTCCTGCCCCACAGCGAGGAGGTCTGATCTTACTGTTGGACATGGACATGTGACATCACTACTCAGCTCCATAATATTATGATCTCACTTCACAGTGACACTATGTTTCTGTACTGTGCACATGTTTATACTCATTTTTTGTATTTTACACTTTTATATATTTCTTTATTTTTGGTCATTATTGCTGTTGCTACTGGATACCTGAACTTCCCTCAGGATCAATAAAGTCTATCTACTGTAGACAAACCATCCATTTCATGTTTCCACTTCACATTGCACCAACTCACTTCAACGCAAAGACAAAAATTAAAAACAATAGAAAGAGCATCAGGAAACACGGTGGTCTAGGCTGCACAGCCTACTACATAATCACAATGTATCTGACTCTTCCTGCAGAGCCCTGAGCCAGTATACACTGAGAAAGCATGCCTGAAGTTGACACTTTGTGTGGGCTTCAACAATAAAACATGACGAATCACTTGTACAGCGCATTTATATTGACCAAACCAGATTCAAATCATTATTTACCTGTTCACACACTGGTGATAACACCAGGAACAACTAGGGGTTCACTGTCTTGCTCAAGGACACATTAACATGTGAACTGGGAAAGCTGGGGATTGAACCACCGACTCTACGATTAAGGAACGACCTGCTCTACCTCTTGAGCCACAGCCGCCCCATCACATTAAGGTTTCACCCATTCTTTTGCTTATTTTATGTCGCTTTAAAATGCAAATTACTTTTCCGATTTACAGCAAGAGAAAGAACAGTGATTTCTGGCATTTGGGACAAACTTTAAAGGACCAAACAGATTTTCACACAACACTGGCAACAGGAGCTGTGTGCGTTCATGAACTATCCTCTCGTTTTTAGGAAGAGGCTCTCTGGTTTTACTGTTCTGAAATAATTAGAAACTGTTTGGAGTTATGAGGGGTGCCAAACTCATCTAGAGGTAGCCAGGATTAAACATTAAATGGCTGGAAATGAGCAACGCGAGCAGCCATGGGCACTTTAATGTGTGAACAGTGTTTGTGAACAACACACACAGCAGTGACTTGGTTAGTATTCAGAGAGAAGGAAACCAGAGGAGTGGGCTTCAGTAACAAAGCAGCCACTTCATGACTCCCTCACTGAGACTCTTGTTGTGTGTCTGTGTGTAATTGCATCATTTATTCTCACACAAACACACCAAAGGAGTTTACTCACCCAAGCTGAGCTCACAAGATCATGGGGGTTCAGCTGCCCTGAAACAGTTCAGGAGACTGAATTAGTGGATGCAGCATGTTTAGAAAACAGAAAAAGTTCCAAAAGTCATTATTTAATTTTAAACAAATTCATGCCAGTCACACTTTCAGATACACCACACACAGGAAATCTCCTCGGGGGCCACGATGCAGTGCCTTTACAGCACCGAGCCAATTTCTCTTCAGCCATAATGTCCTGAGCCACTAAACCCTCGATCTTGGATCGATACAGAATCTGTGTTTGTTTGAAAAGGATTTACTACTGCAACTACACAAAGTCATTATTAGAGTCAGTGGTACATGTTTCTGTTGAGGACAAAGGTTTTTAAGTTGCCTTGAGCGCGGTGTGTGTTTTGGTGCCGACTGCTCCAGCTCAAACCAAGTGACATAGTGAAAGCGTTTCATCAGGTGTAATCCCTTCACATCGTTTAAAACTTCAGCCATATGTGCGCTTTACATCTGAGGTCTTCATAAATACAACAAGGTGTAAAGGGGAACCTGCCAGGGTGGATTAACTGAGGATCCAGCCTCACAAAGCATAGGAATGGTCTCTGTGGGCTGCAGGGGCTGATGAGGTGACGGTGAACCTGTCTGTCTGACTCACTACCTGTCTGAGTCACTACCTGGCTGTCTGACTGGCTGTCTGACTCGCTGCCCATCTGTTTGTCTGACTGCCTGTCTGACTCACTGCCTGTCTGTCTGTCTGTCTGTCTGGCTGTCTGACTCACTGCCCGTCTGTCTGTCTGATTCACTACCTCGGTCTGACTGCCTGCCTCCCTGCCTACCTGCCTGTCTGACTCACTGCCTGTCTGTCTGTCTGACTCACTGCCTGTCTGGCTGCCTGTCTAACTCACTGCCTATCTGCCTGTCTGACTCACTGCCCATCTGTCTCTCTGACTCACTGCCTGTCTGTCTGTCTGGCTGTCTGACTTGCTGCCAATCTGTCTGTCTGACTCACTGCCTGTCTGTCTGTCTGTCTGTCTGGATGTCTGACTCACTGCCCATCTGTCTGTCTGACTCACTACCTGGCTGTCTGACTGGATGACTCACTGCCTATCTGCCTGACTGTCTGACTCCCTGCCCGTCTGTCTGTCTGCCTCGCCGCCTGTCTGCT